TTCTGTGTTTCTTTTATTATCTTGTTCTATAATCTGGTTCTTGGTCGGTTGAAAGCCAAGGCCATCGAAATTTTGGGTTCTTGCTCTTGTTGATATTTAGAATACTGTGGACTTTTATTTTTTCTTGTTCTTCGCTTAACTAGCGAGTTACTGGACTTCGTAATTTCGTTCCTATGTATCTATGATTTGCATATGTTCTCCTCTCTGAAATTCATGGCTTAATGTGTTTCTGGGTTACTTTTGTGTGCAACACTGTTAGCTTCACACTCGTTTTAAATCTCTTTAGTATTTTAATTTTACCCAATGCTGCTAGTTCTGAGATTGTTCACGTCTAACTTGAATGATTTGAACCCTCTTAAGTTTGTTTAGCTAATGCATTCTGGATTGCTCCTGTATGCAACTTTGTTAGTTTTGCACTTGCATTAAATCTTTTAAGTTCATATTAGTCTACTGGTCAATACCTGAATGTCTACATTACTGATCAACCTGAGTCTGTTTTCCTACTCTACTTTGAGTTCCTGCAATGACTGCTTCACATTTGTAACAACTTGTGACTTGCTTCCCTGCTAATATGTCTCTCAGCATGTCTTTGGCTCACTTGATTCCATATTCCTTCAGTGATTACTTGACTCTAGGGTAGTTATCAAATTTGTGTTTTCCTACCATGTCTAAATGCTGTTTTGTTTCCTGATGTGAGTTAACGTGGCTTTCTTTTGATACTGGGATGCATGCTTAGCATGAATTGGACCTTTAGGCTTTAACTTGTCTGGTATTATGCACCTGTGTATGACAATCTTTGTAAATCCTGCAAATTTGTTTCTCCCTAACTCTTTCAATATGATTCTGCCTATGTATTATTTTGCTAAATGATAAACCTGTTTCTAAGTCTTGTTGACCTTTTGATCAACTGTTCTGTGTTTTAAACTTTACTATGTCTGCTTCCTAAAATTAAGTGCAAATTCTATCCCTTAATCATTGCCCACTCTCTCTCATTTGCCACCTATGCTATTCTGAATCCTCATTCTTAGTCGGCTGAAAGCCAAGGCTATTTAGGTTCTGTCTTTGACCTCTCTAGTGTGAGCACTGCTCGGGGTCCATGTGAGACCCTTGGGAACTCTAACACACTAGGATTTATTCTCTAGTCTTTCTTGAACTGTTTCTGATCAGTTTCTCTAGTGTGAGCATTGACCTGGGTTCTTGAAGCCCTTGGGAACTCTGACACACTAGAGATTTGGGTTCTGTATGCTTATCCTTGAACATGGGTAAATCACTCACCACTGGTCCTGCTGTATCTATGAACATGGGCTTTTGGAGCTATTGTGATTTGAAGGCCTGACCTGTCCAAGTGTATTTGGGCCTGCTGTAGGCTCCCTATAGTTATATATACTCATTCTATAATTCACTACATTCATTTCTGGGTCTGTAATAATTATTGTAATAACATTTTGGGGTGTTAGTAAAATTGGGAAAGGAATTTTCATATCCTTGCAACAAATTGGGTAGAAATCCTGCCTATAGGTTCAACAATATGTTATTGCATGTTTAATTATTGTGTGTTAAAAAGCATGCCTATAGGTATCTTATTATGTTCAGCCATTATATGTTATCAATCTTGCATGTAGGTTCCGTACTTGGTTTAATTGTGTTAGAAGCCATGCCTATAATGAATTGTATATTCAATGTGTGTGCAAAACCTCATTCGCTTGCCGTTCTATTTGCAAATTATAGAAATCATGTCTATAGGATCTAAAATTGGAATAAATTGTAGGAAGCATGCCTATAGGTTTGAACCAACCAAATTATCATTTCTGCTCGTTTGTTCACGAGTTTCCAAACACTACGATTTTACTCTCACTAGAAAACATGCCTATAGGATTCAACAAATAATTCTGGATTTGTGACATGCCACTGTCTACTATTGCATAAATCACCTAGATATCATGCCTATAGGTTTAATCGTTTACAATGTATAATCAGTAGGCGATTGCGTAGTCTTTTAAAAATCGTATTAAGGAATTGGCTTCTACATATGAAACTTCCTGCCCATTAAAATCCAGAATCACATAGAGACCATGCCAATAGGATTCAATAACTTTAATTAGCCTAAAATCAGCAATTGTCATTGTTAATCTGACTTGCGTGCATTTGTTGTCTAATTGCGGAGGCCAACTTGAGCCGCTAATTATTTTGTCTGTCGCTTAGTATTTTTTTTCCTTTTGAGCAACCTAAGTTAAGGTCTAGAACTACCTAAATAGAGGTCCAAAGCCTTCGGGACCATAGGCATGGGACGGGTAGTGCACGCATAGGGTACAGTTTAGAATCAACTAGTGCGCTTTAGGTAACAACTTAAAGATAGTAATCGGGTAGCAGGAGATGATAGTCTGTGCCCGCTGAATAATATGAGTAACACCCCATCTTGAGTGAGTTACGAAGTATTATTTATGTTGCACGCGGTGATCCTTTAGGCTAAAAAATTTAGGACCCCCCAACCTTGTCTTTCAGTCAAGTATTTGTGTTTAATAATGAACTTCCCATATTCCTTGTTATTCTTATCTTTGATCACATAGACTAATTCATATAATTGAGTTCGGCCGGGACACACAGTTGTGGACCTTGAAGGGTGCCTAACACCTTCTCTTCGAGGTAATTTCGAGCCCTTACCCGATCTTTGGTGACGCAAACTGGTTAAACAGAGTTATCTACAAATAGGTGCCCTAACGCACCTTAATCTGTTAGGTGGTGACTCTCTCTTCTAAAACCTTTCCTTAAAAGAGTTGTCACATGCCGAAACCCGATTTCGCGAGAAAAAGGGGCGCGACACCATGTAGTCACTTAGAATTCGAGCAGGCTTTCCTTCAACTTTCGGGAGGCGTCGGAGCTCCTCCGATTCAAACCCTTTGTGAACGTCTCCGCTGCCCATTCGTCTGGTACGACTGGTAGCACCATCCTCTCTTTCTAGAAACTGTTCACGAATTTTCACAACAGTTCAGACTCACCTTGTGCAATCCCGAATATGTCCGTTCCTAGCTTGTACCTTTCTGGCCCCGGCATAGGCAACGAATCTGCAAGCATTTCAAAAGAGTTAATTGAATTCTCAGGTAAGAGTGAATACCATGTCAGGGCTCATTTCCTGAGGGTCTCTCCAAACTTTTTCAGAAGAACCGATTCGGTCTCATGTTGAGCCAAGTGGTTCCCCTTCACAGCCTTTGTATAAGTTGTGATGTGCTCCTGAGGATCCGAAATTCCATCGTATTTTTGTATGTCCGTCATCTTGAACCTCTTTGGAATTAACTCCGGTGCTGCACTTGGCTTAAACGGCAACTAAGTGTACTTCTTCGAATCTGGGCCCTTCAAAACTGGTGGTGCACCCCGAATCTGATCCATTCGGGCATGAAACTCCTTCGCATTTTGATCCATTCATTCATTCATTTCTCTCATAAATCTCACGAGCTCGATTTTGAATGAATCATTACTATTATCGTTACCAGATCCACTACCAGTCCGCCCGGCACCGTCGAAACCGACCTAACCCCTCGGGGTATAGTTATCAGCTCTTTGCAAGAGCGCTGGGAAGAACCTGACCCCTTCCGTTTGCGTTGTTGGAAGCGCTTGGCAATGCTTGCTTCAATTCCGTCATCACATGTTCCTGTCTTGAGAGGTGGCCCATGATGGCTTTCTGTTTCTCTCTTAGGATTCTCACTGTTTTCGCAACGTATTCCTCTTCCATGTTATCGGGAGTTGGCTCGCGTACATGCCGAGGGTATTGTCCTTTATGGACCGGGGTTGCCTTATCCCCCTCGTTGTGGGTGTCACTGATTGAATCCTCATGTTGAGGTAGATTCTCATGTCCCTCAACGTTGTGTGCGATGTTGGCATAATTAGCTGCCATTTTCGATTTTTTGCTAAGGAACAAAGAATCAAATAAGTTAGTAATAAATGCAAGGATCAACTTTGTCTAAGCTCTACGGTGGGCGCCAAACTGTTTACCCATAAAATGATATAGTTGAATTTGTTACGTGGTTTATAGACAAGCGAACTGATTTGATCCACAAATAGTAAATAAATAAGATTAGAAATAAAACTTAGCGACTAAAATCGAAGGAAATGACAAGCTTGGCTCGGAGAGCGACGTCTCTGAGGACAGAAATAAGAACAATGAAAAAGAACAAATAAAGTTATTTGATTGAGCTTGAAAATAGAATAAAACACAAGTTTTGTCAAGGATTTCGTCCCTTATAATGGCTGTTGAGCCTACTATTTATAGCTATATCCAGGGAAACAAGATCCTAGGATCAAACTCCTCTTAAATGACAATAAAGGAGCTATTGATGGATATGTAACGACACATCATGAATGCAAATATTCTCTGCAACGACAGCCTATTTAATGCCGGAGAATATTCTTTATTGAATGCTATCCGATGGCAATCATTTGATCTGCTCACATTGACCATGCCCCCTTCGGGGTCTATCCGATGCCAATTGTAGTTGTTGTTCCCAGTATTGGTTGTTACTTAATTTGCTTTCTACCTGTGTTCGACTCCACGTGTCACTTTACCATTCGATCATTTATTATAAACCAAATTTATCCTATACAAAAATTGCTTTAGGTCATAAGCTCAATTCGAATTATGACATCCTGATATTTTGTTTTAATCTTAGTATATAAATTTCTAGTTCTGCCTCTATCTAAAAGGTGGTAAATTGTTGGTATCAGTCATGAATGCTGATCCATTTTCAATAGGTAGAGAATATTACAGAAACGGAGATCAATATGGAGATTAATGATGATATACAAGGCAGCAGTGAGGATGCTTCTTTCTTGCTAGCAGTGCATATTCGTAATTGGATTTCATTGTAATTAACGAATTAAGTGTTGTATATATATTTGTCGGGCCTCTAAGACAACAAATTATTAAGACAAGAAACTCGAGAGGGGCATTTTAGACTTTCAAAAAGGGTAGTTTTGTCATAAAGAAAACAGTTGAAGAAGCTTACAAATGGCATAAGCTCATAGTCATCGGTAAAGTCGAACATGCACTTAGTTGCACCAATGTGAAGTAAAAGGGACATCCCAATTCCCAGCTCTTCTCTTGTATTTATTCGGATTCGGAAACAGTAACGTTTTTTCATCAATGGCTCACTTTTTGAACCAAGCTAATGCTTTGTTCCGCAAAAACCTCATATACCATGTAAGTGATCATGAACTCGTTGTTTTCATAATTACCCAATTTCTGTGTCTGTTTTTGGATTCTTTTTCTTTGAGTTTGATTTCATTAGTCACATGAATATAGAGTTTCTGGCTATTGATTTTGGTTTTTTCTAACATTTTAGAGAAGGCATGTGAAGTCACACTTGAAGGTGATTTTGTTCCCAGCACTTCTCTTTATATTGTTAGGCGTTTTACAAAGCTACGGCAACAAAGCTAAAAGAGAGAAACAAGGCCCCTCCATTCCCGATGAATTTCCTCCTTTATTGCAAATCCCTTCTCCCCAATTTCGTGCCGTGAAGACCGATTCATTGCCTTTTTCTGGCTTGCCTGATGCGTCTTGCAGAGAAACTGGTTCATGTCCTGCAACAGTACTTATCACAGGGAACAACAGAACCCTAGGAGAAAGTAAGCTTTTTGTTTTTCTCATACATGGCATTGCTATGCTACTTTTAGTACCTAAAAAAAGGGTCAGTCTGCTCAATTTTTCTAAATTTAATTTGTGAATTGTGGTAGGTGTGGCTGGGAATCTGTTCAATGATTCTCCTGAACCAAATTCAACTTCTGATTTTGAAACTATTGCCAATGGCGTTTTCGTGAGTTCTCTTTCCTCTTGATTGTTGAGTTAGGTTGTAGCAAATTTGAAGTTTTTATTCTGCTTATCATGTTTTTTATTACCATTCTGCAATATTGTGATTTTGGAAAATATTTCAGGGAACAAACACCAGCTATTATTCGTCATATGTCCCGAACTTACTGTTTCATGTTCGACCTCAATGTTCTGCTGCAATACCTTCGCTCTCCAAAAACTCCACAACAGAAGGACTGCAACTTGGTAATGTCTTTTGATATTGTCTGTTGGTGCTGATATCTTTAGAACATAGCTGGATCTATCTCTTTAGGTTTATTTTCCAAGTTCTGCAATGTCATCAGATTTATGCTGTAAAAAAACAATTTAAAATGAAGCCCGTGAAGTTCAATCGTTTCTTATGCTACTCTGCAAAACTTTTTAATCCGACTCTTAGTTTGAGTTTTATTTGCTCATTCCCTGTCCTTAGGCCTTCTATATGCTTATAATGTACCCAATTTCTTCTTGAGTAATATTTTTAAACTGTAGAAGTCTGTAACATGCACTAAATTTTACTTCTACACCACATTTAGAGGTCATATGCGTGGAAGGTTTAAATTTGTGGCGCAATACCTCTGCGGAGATTAATGATGAGCTATTCAAAGGATTCAGAGAAGGAAATACAGAGGGGAAACTAAACGAAGTTTTGGCAGGTTATTCTCTTAGATGCCTGGAATTTATAGTTTCACGTCTTGATATCCCTGCAGGGATATGCTTCCCACTGATACTCTTCTCGTCTCCCACAGCTTATGATTTCTTGGATACAAGTGGAGAGAACTTCAACGTCAACATTCAATACAATTCTACTTATGAGGAATTTCATCTAGGTGATGAACCTCAATTGTTGAAAATACCCCGTGCTGAGAATATGGTATATCCTTATACCCTTTTTATGCACTGAATAGAAGCTTTACCAAATCAATAAAAAGGCTATACAGTTTAGATATTCTTAATTTCTTTTCAGTTAATTGTTGGATTGTACTTAGCAGGTGGAGCTTGCTGCTTTTACAAATTAACCTAAATCTTCATCTTCAGCATCAATTGATGTTTCTCCTTACCACAAGCTTTGAACAAATAGTGAGAGCATATCATTTGATTGGAAGTAGTAATGCGAACTTGAATTAACATAGCAAATTAGGAATCATGAGAAATTGTGTAGATAAAGCAGCAAATATATGGAAGCTTGAAATTTATAAGTAGTATTTTTTAGATAGACTCTATAGTGAACAAACTAAAGATGCAACAGACAGCTTGGTTACTAATAGAATATGTGCTGGCAAATACTAACTTGGTCTATGTTCTAGTGTTTGGTGCCAACATTTGCACACCTTCTTCTTGATGCAATGTATTTCACATTTTATTGTTCTAAATTTCCTTGATTGTACAACAGTGTTTGAATGCTGTTGACAGTATGTTGGACATATGAGATTCTTATGCTTTTCTGTGTAGGTAACGAATGCCTATCTCCAATTTTTACGTGGTCCCTCTACGAAGATGGTTCTAGATTTTGTAGCTGAGATGCCAATTCCTGGTGGCTTCCGAAGGCCAGATGACATATCTACGTTTCTCAATATTGTTTTTTTTACATGGGTCATTCTACAAATATTTCCGGTAAATATTTATTTAGTTTGTGAAGAGTTGCAACTTGCATGATTGCATCAAAAGATGCTTTTCTGGTGGAAGTTTTTTGCATTTATCATTATTAGAAGTTTCTAGTGTTTTGATGATTTACTTTCTTTTGAGTTGAAGTCATTTTAGCGGCCCATAGATATAGTTTACGAGCTTCAGCTGTTATGAAAAAATGATTTTGTCTACTTATATTCCATTATTGTTTTCGTTTATTACATTAGAGCTGATCCGGCACTTCAAATCCACTTTTGAAGTTAGTCCAGTCACAAATACTTACTTTATAACTACAATTACATGGTGAAAGATCCACTTCATGTGATACTTTTTGATAGTAGGCTGTTTCCAAATCGTTTACATCATCTAGATTTGCAAAATCACCGTACAAATGTAGTGTATGGTTATCCTAACTTCAGAGTTCAGAAAAATACATACATCTAATGCTCCAAGAAAATTGAAGTTCTGTCTTTCCATTTCCCTAAATAAGCATAAATTGTAACAAAAAGACTTCTCGTCACATTTTTATGCAATGTAATACAACAAACAAGTTTAAAAGCATTCATTTGGAGAAACAAAAATGTATATACATTTTAGTGCTTAAGATTCTCTTAGTTAATAATTCCTTGTTAAAACTTTCAAGAGCCAATTTCAGTCGATCGTACATGATTATTAACTTTAAGCCCCTTCTCCCTTTTGTTTTTGTTGAAGTGTGTGACCATCTCATCTAAAAGCTTAAGCTATTAGAGAGAATACACTTTTATTTACTTAATTATGTCTCCAACAGTTTTTCCTCTTCATGCTAAGTTTTTCCCTATAGAAATTAGGAGCTAAGGTATATCCAAGTTTTGGTTAGAATTTAGAAGGGTTTTTGCATAAAAATCTTGTGATTGGTATAATATTTAGTTTATCCCATTATCTTGAGAAAGTTCATAAATATTTTGTTAATAACTAAGAGAAGAAAGGAATATATCAGAATTACTGAGATCAATACTTTTGTGCGTTCTTTCATAATTAGGTGTGATAGTCTTAGTGATCGAATATCTTAGGTTAGACCATTTTCATAATATAAAAGATTAGATGTTTTAGGTAACTTTTTTATGTCCTGATTGTATCCAAAGTGGAAAGCCAAATGATGCAACCATGGGATGGGCCCTGTTTTGACATCCGATACATGCACGACTAAAACCGTAACTGCTCCGTGTTCATGAAAGTAAATGTTTCTCTTTTTGATGTGATTACTATGTCTTTCTGATCATAATTTCCTTACTTGAAAGGCATTTCCAGAGACCAAAAATTGCAAGAATATGACTCTTTTGGTATTTAAGAGAAGGATATTAGTTACTTTCTTACATTTTCTATGTAGAGTTATAAACTTATCTGACTACAGAACTGCTTCACTTCTTCCATCTTGATATAAGTGGACAGTTCTTTTAATGTAGGTTATATTATCATCTCTGGTTTACGAGAAGCAACAGAAGTTACGGATCATGATGAAGATGCATGGCCTTGGAGATGTTCCTTATTGGATGATTACTTACGCGTATTTTCTTGTCATATCTTTGATCTACATGTGCTGTTATTTTGGATTTGGTGTATTGACAGGTAATAGTGCACAGTTCAGCTGCTTATTGCACGTTTACACGAGCTGGTTCAATATATTTCTTGTTTTTACAGGGTTAACGATTTTCAAGCTGAATTCATATGGTGTCCAGTGCATCTTTTACTTTGTCTTCACAAACCTGCAAATCTCCATGGCCTTTCTATTAGCTGCAGTATTCTCAAATCTGAAGACTGCCTCAGGTTGGTTCCAGTGCAGAAGTTTGTAGAAGTTCTTTGCAGTACATGAGTAATCAACTCAAAAGAGGATCGATTTTCATGAATAATAACCTTAACATTGGATGTTGCAGTTGTTGCCTATACAATTGTCTTTGGGACGGGGATCTTGGCTTTTCTCCTTTTCCAGCCCCTAGTTGATGATGTATCATTTCCTCGTAAGTAGATTAACCCAATTACTTTGTTCCAAATTTCATAAATCTATTATTCTACCTTTAACTGTGGTAGAAAATTATCTTCTGATAAATGTGGGCACTTTATAGCTTTGCCAACTCACTCAACTTCATAAGACTCATTTTGTTACCAAGGAACTGATCTTGTACTCTTTTTAACTGATGTCTTTTACATTATAACACGATAAATACTGCTCAATACATCTTGGATTAGGTGCAAAGCTGCCGGAAACTTTATCTTAATCCTCTGATCTAAAATAAGAGAGATAAATTTGTTTTCTGTATCTTAATCATTCTTTAAGTCCACTTGAGCATATTTTACTAGCTGTTTGGGAGGTGGCAGCTCTAGATGTAGCCTTTGACTCGTTATTTTTGTCTTCTCTTCCAAGTAGCTTTAGAGGATCAAAATGGAAAAATACTTGGATTAGCTCAAGGTTAAGGAAACAAGGCATGTCCACATGTTGAAGGCCTAAAATTGCGTTACGAGTTACGCATCCGATCAGTCTGCTTCTCTGTGAGATCACTTGGCTCTTTGTACCTATGACAAATGAAACAGTGCGACTGTCCTTTCATATTTTTCATGTTATCTTAAATAGATCATTTTCACAGGGAAAAAGCCCACCAATTTGGCAATATCCATTAATTGATGTTCCATGTTCTCTTCCAAAGACACTTCTTACAAATACTTGAAAGGAATGGTGTAGTTCTGATCCATTATAGCCTGTCACCATTATGTATTCTGGACAACCAATGTGGTATAATTCCTCCACCTGATCTGGTGGTTTGGACAATTATGGCTTCAACTCCTCTTGTGTTTCAGTAGAAATAGAAATTCTGGTGGATTACTTCAAGCAGTATTTTTGTTTTCTGGTCTAATGCTTTTTTCTTCTTCATTTGTTCATTATATTTGGATTCTACTTGTATCTCTCATCTACAATAACATGGGTTTTTTTTTTTTTTTTTTTTTTTTTTTTTTTTTTTTTGTGGTGGAGTAGGTGGTTGGATAATTTTCATGGAATTATACCCTGGATTTTCTCTTTATCGAGGGTTATATGAGTTGTCCCAGTATGCCCGAGGGGGATTCAGGCTAGGGACTTATGGGATGTCCTGGGAGTATCTTAGTAACAGCAATAATGGCATGAGAGAGGTTCTGATTATCATGTCAATGGAGTGGGTGGTATTTCTGATTGTTTCCTATTACCTTGACCAAGTTATATCATCTGGAAGTGGAAACCGTAGGAGTCTTTTGTTCTTCTTGCCAAATTCTCAAAAGAAGCATTCACCATCATTGGAGAAACCTTCTTTTCAGAGCGCGGAATCTAGAGTTCAAATTGAAGACAATGACGTTTCTGAAGAGGTGATTCATCTTGCCTCCTTTACTTAAGATTTTCATGTACAAAAGTCTTTGAAGTGGTTCATGAACTCATGGACTATAAATGCAAGCACACTGCTTCGAACTAGTTGGGCCCCAAAGATATATTGTCAATGCTCCAGATATCCAGTCATGAGCATGCAAAGGTTGTTATGAGTCCCACATAGGTTGAGGGAATGGGTTGTTGTCTTGTTATATGGTTGTGGGCAATAGTGAGCTCATGAGCTGGCTTTTGGGGTTTAGCTAGGTCCTATGTCTACTTTTATCACATGATATCATAGTCAAACCTACCCCACTCTTGGTTTACCAAATGTTGAGCCTCCATATTATGTTGTTCAAGCTCCAAATGTCTAACCTTGAGGGAACGAGTTGTTGTCTCCTTGTATATTTTTGGACAATGTTGATTTTCTTAACATGGCATTAGAGGCAAACTCATCCCAATTCTTGGTTTACAAATGTTGGGTCCCCAAGTTTTACTGTTCATGCTCCAAATATCCAGTCTTAGGCATGCAGGGTATTAAGTGTCCCATGTTAGTTGAAGTAACGGGATGTTGTATTTCTATGGTGTTGGGCAATTCTCGCCTCATGAGCTAGCTTTTGGGGTTGAGTTACACCTAGGGTGCATCGAGGTTTAAGCCCGATGTCTAGTCCTAGCCTCCTAGGCATGCAGAGGAGGGAGGGAGGGGGGAAGCCGGGGATAGGGAATGAGCTATTTTCTCCTTCTGGTTTTGGTAATCTTCACCTCATGGGCTAGCTTTTGGGGATGAGTTAGACGAAAGACCATTTTCTTACATTGTGTCAGTGTCAATCCCTTTTCTATTCTTAGTTTACCCAATATTGGGTCCCATATATTATGTTGTCCACGTTGATGTCTAGGCCTGACCGTGCATGGGTGTTAAATTGTCCCACATTTGTTCACCGGATAGGCTGTTGTCTCCTTATACTTTCTTGGAAAATCCTCATATTATGAGTTAGCTTTTGAGGTTGAGTTATGTCTAATGTTCAATATGATTTTTTGGAGGCTTTCTGTGTTTTAGTCGCTGTCACTTGAATTGACCTGCACTATGCCTATACTGGAGTCATCTCATTCTTGTTTTCTGGCTCTCTTTTGCAGAGAGAGAAGGTTGAACAGTTGCTAGAAAAGCCACATTCGAATTATTCTGCCATTTGCTACAACCTCAAAAAGATATATCCAGGAAAGGATGGGAACCCTGATAAAATTGCAGTTAAAGGATTAACTCTCGCATTACCGCGTGGGGAATGCTTTGGCATGCTTGGTCCAAATGGTGCAGGCAAAACTACTTTTATTGGCATGGTTAGTAAAATTATCTAAAGTAACTGGGAACGAATTTTAGCTACCCACATACACCATGTTATATAGAAAAGAAAAAAAACCATACGCCATGTTATCATGGGGTAAATAAAGATCTGGTGTGAATTATGTAAATTGCACTTTTTTCCTATTATTTTCAATATGTTGGAACTTATCAAGCAAGCTATGGCACTAAATGATAGATGACTGGGCTCTTGGAGCCAAGCTCTGGTAGTGCCTATGTTGAGGGTTTAGATTTGCGGACTCAAATGAACGAAATATATGGTAGCATGGGTGTGTGTCCACAACATGAGTAAGTTTATTTGTTTTCATCATGGCCAAGAACACTTGCGGCGTCGTTTTTGCTCTTGTTTTGAATTTCAAAGTGTTGACTCATTCCATTTCTCTGTTTCGCCAATGCTTATTAGCTTGCTCTGGGATACCCTAACAGGAAGGGAACACTTACTCTTTTATGGAAGACTGAAAAATCTCAAGGGTGCTGCTTTAAGCCAAGTATGTAATATAACCACCTGCTTAACTAAAGCCAAAATTGAGGAACAGTTTGGATAGTTTTCTTATAAATTTGTTTAGTGATATTCCGAGAAAGCCCTATATCACGATGATGAACTGTTTAATGCATTTTGGTTTTCTCTCTTTGATACTATCCTATTGCAACAGGCAGTGGAGGAATCTCTTAAAAGCTTTAATCTTTCCCAAGGAGGAGTTGCTGACAGATTAGCAAAAAAATATAGTGGTGGTATGAGGAGAAGACTCAGTGTAGCCATTTCATTGATTGGGGACCCTAAAGTATGTACTGATCTGTCCTCTTATATTATGCCTTGAAATTATCCTGAAGTTCTGGGTCCCAATTGGCTATTACTAAAAGAAGTCAATTTGTTTAAGATTGTCTATATGGATGAGCCCAGCACCGGACTTGATCCTGCTTCACGTAAAATGTTGTGGGATGTCGTGAAGCATGCAAAGCAAGATAGAGCAATCATTCTCACCAGTACTCTACTCCACTCTTACTTATACAAGTTTTGTTTTGGGTTGTTACTATTTAGTTGTCTTGAAGTTTTGCCTGCAATTACCATGCGATAATTACAAGCCGTAACATTGTTATGCATCTTTAGGAAATGGAGCAAACTTAGGCTCTATGTTCCATTCTGCTGTCATTTAGGGATAACATTTTGTTCTTTCTCTTCATCTCAGCACACTCGATGGATGAGGCAGAATATCTTTGTGATAGGATAGGTATCTTTGTGGATGGAAACTTCCAGTGCTTGGGAACTACAGATGAGGTGACTGCTATGATCTTACCAGCTAGTTTACAATTCAATTTTTTGGAACTTGACTATCACATTTGAGGCTTGTATCTGTTATCGGAATTGCGGGAGAAAGGTATTATTCTAGATTAGTTTCCTACTGAATTAGCTAGGATATCATCTATTGAATGAGTGGGCGTGCGTAGGCTTGGGAGAGTGGCAATTGGAGCTTGGATATTTTTTTTATTTTTTTTATTTTTATTGCTGAACCATTCCATTATATGATTGCTAAATTCTTATCTAGTGTGATCAAATTTTGTTAATTTTCATCATGTGATGTTCACTTCATTGATCCATATGAATATCTTATAGCAGAAGTACTGGAAAAATCTATGCGATTCTATAATTCTTTGTTAACAAAAAAGGAAGGCTCTGAAACGAGTTAAGGATCAATGAACTTGTGTAAAACATGGATTCTGGAATCTGGAAGTGATTTTTAAATTGCAGAATATGAGATGAGCATACTTTCAAATGTACATCGTATTCTTCTGAAGTACTACTACAGTTGGGTCTGATTATAGGTATCATCCATTCTTAACCTTGCCAAAACCTTCATCCATCGTATATAGGCCGTACTATGGCTTGATATAAGGGTAAACCAATAGCGAATAACCTTTTCTTCCCTGCCTCCTCGACCTTTATTCCCATCCTGCTGCCAAAGTGAAAGCGGCAGGGAAAGATTTCTATGTGGATAGGAAGTATCAACACCTTCTGCATCTTTTAATTTTAAAGGAAATATAGTTGAATAATATAGTGTTGGGTCCTGCGGACCAGGATGGCCGAAGATCAAAACCTAAATGTGCTAGGGATTGATCATCGAAGCCTGGCAATAACGATTAAGGAATTTGAGCGCTGATGTAGCTAAGAGACACCTTGGGTTGTCACCTTCTACCCGGAAAAGTATCCACCGTTTTCTTTATCTGCCAAGCCTCATAGCTATGGGACTTTACCACTCACAAGACTACCGAGATCTTCGACTTAGCTCCCAAAGGTAATCCACCCGGCCCTTTCCCAACCTATACAAGGAGAGCGGAAGATAACGAAAGGGAGACAAGGTCCTAACTGAATGGAACACAAACTCCCATTCCATCTATCATATCAGTCGAGTCGATCCGCTTCGTTCTTATCTATAGATAATGCAAGAAAGAACTTATGAACTTGCGGATGGAGAGGGATTCGAACCCCCGGTATTTCTATAAATACTTACTTGTTATTGCCCCATAGGTTGCTCATGTTGGAAGCTAAGTTCATTTTTTAATGTTCTGCATACTGTATTTGGGAAGTGGGCCCACCGTGATTTTATTTCATGACCATTTATTTATATTTTTCTATCGGATCTCCCCGAAGGGACTTTTTCTAACAATTCATGCCTCATTGGAAATCATGGTACTCTAAAATCGCTACCACTATACCGTCCAATTAGCAGAAACTCCCTCTGTATAACTCCGCTGAATGGTGACTTTTATTTACTGGTAAAGCTATAGTGTGTATGCTGGAACATCCTTCTGATCATATAGTATTTAAATATGTTGACTTGTGAATGACAGTTAAAGGCTAGGTATGGGGGATCCTACATGTTCAGCATGACTACATCACCCGAAAATGGAAGTGAAGTGGAAGACTTAGTGAAACATCTATCTCCAAATGCGAAGAAGACATATCATTTGTATGGAACTCAGAAATTTGAGCTGCCAAAGGATGAGGTGAAAATTTCAGATGTGTTCCTAACAGTTAGACAAGCAAAGGAGAGATTTCCAGTCCAGTCTTGGGGTTTGGCTGACACAACACTGGAGGATGTCTTCATCAAGGTGGCAACTGAGGCATAGTGATTTACAGTTCTACTAATAATCTTAAAGCATAATGTTATATAGTAAGTTTCATCTGCTTGAATCCTTCATTCTTTTGCTTGTAAGATGTGAATTGAAGTTGTTCTTTTTCTAGACAAGAATGATTGTTGATTTGTGGTATAAAGGATCATGGTTTTGTTACTTAGAACATAAAGGTTCTTCGTTTGCCCTTATCGCCTAAATTGCTCGGACTCGGGTGCGGGTATCCGACATGGGGACGGATCTGAGTATCGGATTCGGCAAAATCTAAATTTTAAGATTCCGGGATGCGGACCCGGATATGGATACGAATGTGGGGATTCGGCTAATAAAAAATAGAGCTATAAAAATATTGTAATTTGTGAGATATATTCTGTGAAAAACTTAGATGAATATTGTAGAATATTCAATCTTTCATTCTCCAAGATGGACATTATTCTTCCATTCTTCTAAATCTTTTTTATTTTTGATTTTGAGAAATCAAAATCTCAAATTTTCTCCCAAATTTGTCGATGGACTCCAGTCAAAGTGTCCCAAGTCAGTTGACCGAATCCGGGACGTACCCCACTCCAGCTCCCGTCCCCGTCTCGCATCGGGACGGGGACGGCACCAAAAGCGAAGAGTCCGCGCAACTTAGCTTATCACCCATATCCTCACTCTCAAGCATGAGCGGCTCATGAATAAATAAATGTTGCACTTCTATTGTTACTGACTTGGTTTGCATGATATTGTTTGACGGCATTGACTATTGATATCTTTGAACAATTAAACAGTGGTCTCAAAGAATTGTAATTTTAGAAAATGTATCATTCTAGTTGATATAGCATGTCTCAATTGAGTCGATTTTTGTTTTTGAAAAGAAGACAGAACTAAAGGGCTATAAGTCTGTAAAAATATAACGTACTATTAAGAACACTCTGGCAAATGATAACAAGCAATCAACTAAATATGCCTCAATCCCAGAATAATTGGACTTAGTGATATGGATTCTCTATATATGTTAGTATAATAAGGACTCATTTTAATCTGAATGATTTTGCATCTACTATTAACTTACCATTATTCCTTTCAATGGACTTAGAACTGGTTATGAAGCTCACATAGATGAGTTTACAAAATAAAGCATCACTTAGACTTTACCAAGAGATTTCTATTCATACACTTTAGTTCTCACCATCACTGAGGGACAGAAAGCACTTTAAGCTAGTAACGAATTTATAAAGTGCTATATTCTTGACAGGAAAAATCTATATATGCAAGTGAAACTTGCAAAATTGGTATCACTATGATACTGTTGGTATCACTATGATACTGTAGTAAATATGCTTACACATTAGCCAAAAATGTTATTGTAAAGGAGATACTTGTGATACAAGAAAACTGCAAAATTTACCACATGTTACCTATGGTCCTATACACGTAAATGATATGCAAAACTTTTGAACCAAATCAACAAACTAATGGCTCCTACTGCAAAACTTTCACCTTTTGAAGCGCTAGCTGCTTATGGTAAACTCAGACTCGAATAGGATAAGACTATGCACAGTGGACACTTCTGATCTCATACTTTATCTGAGTTTACGTACCTAGGTCCCTATATTTCCTAATATTTTGTTATGACTACAACATTTTGAGTTGTGCAGGGTCAATTACAACTCCTAGGGGTCTAGCTGATTTGGCATTTGGAGGATCTGGTAGTTGAATATGAGGTGGTATTGGCATGTGTTGCGAGTGACCAGAAATGCAAATTCTACCTGAATCATCTGGCTCCCAATATACTTCCACCATAATACCTCCAGGATTCTCTGGAGATTTTGTTCCTGGAATTCCCACAAATCTTGATCCCACAGGTACCTGAACAGTAAGAAGAAGTGTTACTTATTCCACCATGAATTTAGATTTAAAAATTTTCCCACCAAATTTTATCTAGTACTAATATCATGTAAACGAAGATTCTGATAATTGACTTACTCCAACTGATTCCCCTGTACTCAATGTAAGAGTTGTAAATCTTCCTTCAGCTGCTGCACTTTCAATATCTGCCTGTTTAGCTATGTTCATGAAAACTTCTTCTAGAGTTGTAAGACCGAGCTGGATGTCTTTTATGCCGAATTCTGTCTCTCTACCTTGAAGCTCAGCAAAAAAGTCCTGATAGGTGTAAAGGCCAATCATCAAACGTATATGAGTTTAACTTCTTTATACTGGCAGTATATAAGTTAAATTCTTAAGATATTCTAGGTATTACCGTCAACACCCTCTCCTTGTCATGAGGAATAACATAAGTTAGGAAGGACCTGTTTTCTTCTGTAGGCACCACGTCCAAACGCTGTCAATAGAGTTTATATGTCATTGTTACCAGTCCTTGAAAGAGAAAAAAAAAAGAGAGTAAAGGAAGTATCTATTGACCATACACTTTTAAAGAACTGTTTCACAGCTTCAGGTTGAGATGTCGTCTCCCCAGAAAAGCTTACAGTAGCAATGAAACCAGTTCCAAATCTAGATTTCAACCTTATTGAAGTTCCAATGCAACGAAGCCTTCCCTTTGCCATGATAGCGATGCGGTCACTTAAGATATCAGCTTCTTCCATTGAATGGGTTGTCAAGATAATGGCACGCCCTTTTTTAGCATCCTCAATTATGTCCCAAACATGCCTCCGCGTTATCGGATCCATACCAGTAGTCTACAGAAAATGTTGAACAGAAATTATTTTTAGCATAAAAGTAAGAATTCTAATTAATTAGCAGTACCTACCGGTTCATCCAAAATAACCAACTTTGGATCTCCAATAAGGGCTATAGCAACACTAAGTCGTCGTTTCATTCCTCCACTGTAACTACAGGATCTCATTTTGGCTGCTACCTTTATGATTTTTGACTTGGCTAATAGTTTCTCTACAACCTGTTTTTGAAAGGAAGAATTGGTTTAGTAATATTTGAAACAGCTTTGTTTACCAATTATCCATGGAAGAATTGGTATAAAAGGATTGATATAGTTTAGGCATATGTGCAATACCGTGTCTATTGAAGCAGGGGGTAGACCTTTAATGTTGGCAAAAAGCTGAAGGTGTTCTTGACCAGATAATGTATCCCAAAGAATATCAAACTACAAATTGAAATCAAAGAGTCAGTTTCTCCAATCTAAAACTGTGGGGATTAGCACGCAGCTTGTACTATTAGAGACTTAAAATGAGAAAATTACAGAGAAAAAAAAGAGAGGAGTTACCTGGTGACAAACCCCCATCATCCTTCGAATGTTTGTCATGCCCATAGAGCTTCGTATGGACTCATCATATACTAATGCTGTTGAAAAAACCACTCCATATTAACACATTCTGCAACTTTGAATGATCATACAATGTGAGAAAAAAAAGCCATTATTACCATCTCCAACAGTAACAGGGTTAATCCCAGTCAAACAACTTATAGTAGTAGTTTTCCCAGCTCCATTGGGCCCAAGAAGACAAAGTAGCTGATCCTTTTCGACGTTCAACCATAAGCCCTACAGTCATGAATGGTCGTTAGGGACTCGTAAGTTTTTGTTATTACTTAAATTTGCAGCATCAATAGAGATGAAGTACCTTGACACTATGGAAAGGAGGAGTTGTTAAGCAACAACAGCAGCCTTTTGAATTTCCAGGATATGTCTTGATAAGGCCGCGTATTTGAACTGCAATGTTGGAATATCCACCTTCCGTAGCTTGCTTTTTAACTGTGTTTTCTTCTGTAAGAACGTCTTCATCATCTGGTGTAGTAATTTGCGGCCTTGGCAATGAACCTGAACAGATGCTGCAGCAACCGCCCTCTAACATAGAAAAGGAATTAACGGACTAGCTTTATTATAAAAGAAGTAGTAGACAGTTTAGTTAATTTGTGTTTAATTACCTCTCACTTTACTTCCACCTTTACCAGTCCAGTATCCAGGAAATAGGAAGTAGAATTTTGATTTTCTCACACCATAGATATTTGGAATTATATTGTCAAAATACACAGCCAGAACGAAAAAGAGAAAAAACAATCTCAGGAGCCCTATATATACATCATGCTGTTAAAACAAGGGGAATATTAGTTGCAATATATATATATATATATATATAGATTAGGTGGTGGAATCAAATAATTGAGAGGTGTGGACTAGTCTTACCATGGTAATTACGCACTTTGGTTCAGCAGGTAGACACTTTGCCCTAGTACTCCAGCTAATACCTGGATCTTTAGGAGTTTCAGTTGCTCTAGTAAGTAACTGAAGACCTGCAGACAGAAGATTTGGTGGGAACAATGACCACCAATCCCTGTGGCTTTGGTCATAAGCAGGTGAATAGGGATATCCACTACTTGAAGCCATCTGAGAAATGGAACATACATATGTTATTCTACTAAAGTAATACTAATTAATAAACCATTTCAAGATATGGACTTACCAGAGTAATGAAACCAACAATAAAGACGCAGAAAGCCACAGTTGTTGCTGAAGCTGACTTGTCTATGAAAGCAGACAGCCAATATGCAAAAGTAGTCTTGCAAAAGGAGCAGAAACATAATTATATATTTCAGTGGATCGGAGAACAAAAGTAAAAAGTTTCTGATGGAGGCATACATACCATAGCAAGTTGGAAGAGGAAAAAGAGAAGGAAGACGACTATGAAGTTATTGCGCAAGAAAATATCAAACTGAAACATCATTCCAAAGATGACAGTGAGAATAGAAGAGATGAAAATGAGGAGTCCTTCCCAAGTGACCCATGACAACCAGTAGGCAGTATCAAAGAGACCCATCATAGTCATTGCCTGTAAGAGAATCAAATATAAACCAATTAAATGAATATTTTTCGAGAGTATCAAAATGGCAAAATTAAAAGGCGATGTATACCTGTCGAAGCTTGAGTTCCTTTTCAGTGATGAAAGCAGTGATTTGGAAGACAAAACTAAATATAGCAACTGCCAGGAAAAAGATCGGCCCCATACTAGACGTGGTAGTGGCTTCTTCACCAGGAGGATGTGCAAATTCCTTTAAACTGACAACCCAGGGGAAATTTGGATCTGAAAGAAAATTAAAGAAGAAACCATCATTATATATCTAGCTAGTATATTTATCATAACAACATCACATATATACCTACCTCCAATGAGAGTCCTCGCGATTTCGCGCTCTGCTGCTAGTTGAAGTGGGATTTGGAACTTAAAAATTGGATCTTGAAAAACTCTTCGCTTCATAACTTCGGTAGAGTTTGTCTGTATACCATAACTGATAGTATTTCCATTTATTATAAAGTGCAGAGCTCCAGTACAACGTACAGGATTATCGAAAAGCCATTTATCCACTTCTTCTCTGGTGTTAAATGCAAGAACCTGTACAAGAAAGGAAAGAGAATTAAAATCAATCAATCAATGAATGAAACGTGCGAGTGATATATTGTACGTGGTCCGTCCATCCATTATATATCCATACCTTGTTGGGAGGAATAGGCCTACCAGGATTATTAGCCATAATTCTTCTGACAATATCACCAATAGTTTTACTGTCTTTGCCACTCCAAATGAAATCATAGCAAGGGACCTTAATGAAAAACTTGTCCTCGCAGGGGGGATAGGCGGCGCGACAAGAGGTTCAGGGTCGGGTAAATCCTTCTCAACAGAGGACGAGCCACCTTCGCTAGATTTCTGAATGGCGAAGAGAAGGAAGATGAAGAAGAGTGATGAGAAGAGCTGTAGGAATGTGGCTGGCTTGTTACGCCATGCAAGTAAATAATTTTTCTTGAATAATGCTTTGTACTGTTGCACCAGCAGAGGGATTCCCCCCTGCAATTCCATATTGCTCTTCTCTCTCTCTCTCTCTCTCTCTCTCTCTCTCTTTTCAATTCAAATTCTCTTACCTAACTTAATTTGTAAACTACCTTGTAATCCATAATTATAAAATAAACCCACTGATCTGAACTAGTGACTAACCGATTTATGTGGAACGGATGTTTTTAACGTTCAACCATGTTTCATTCTAAACATCGTTCAACCCTACTTTTCTGTTAGGAAAAAAGAAAAATACTAGCTAAGCTAGTGCTACTCCTATCCACCATGAATTTTAATTTTTATTATAGTTCGTAATTTTTTTTTTAACCTTAACTCGTACTTGGTGAGAGATATGTTGAACTACCATTTTGCCCCTTGCTCGTTTTTAACATGGGAGGAGCTAGAGTATTCTTTACGGTTTTAATTATACCATATATTTTGTATTGGAAAAATTGATTATACCATATATTTAATTATATCATAGCTCGGTCCAATTTAATAGCTTTTAATTATACCATATATTTTTATTAGAAAATTCATTAAATATACATAAATATTTAATACAAACTATGAGTTCTGGGACAAATTCAACACTCATAAACTTTAAATCATGTCGGGTTGTTCACTAGATTAAAACCAAACACTTAACATGCTAGGAGGTTAATTACAATATTCAAATTATTAGGTTTTCAAAAAACAAAATCTCTTTTTTTCCCCGAGAAATTTCTACTAGTTTTTGGAAGACAAGTAAGTCATACTGCAAAAAAAGAAAAAAAAAAATTGGAATTGATTAGTGCACATTGATTCTGCAATACTTTATTTTATTCTTTTCAGAAGATGAAGCTGGTATGAGTTCTCAGTATTTCAAGTTGTTGTTAAATTAGTATCTTGATCTGAATTTCTGTGGCTTTTAACTCTAAATATTTAAAATAGAAGAAAAATTGTGTGGTCAATTAACCGTGCGAAGGGCAATTGAGTCATTAAGAGAGCAACTTGTTGGAAAAAAAATAATTTGGGAGAGCAAGACAACAAAACACTCAAACACTCACAACTCACTTTGAGAATGGAGAAGAAATGATATTTTTCATTCAACTTGACTTGTTCCAAATGGCTAGCATACATGGGTATTTATAGTAGAACTCCTACATGTATCTAGCCTAAACTTCATGTAAACACACTAACTAAATTCTCATTAGTCTACACTAGTTCATACATCTCATAATGAAGTTCACATTAGTCTACACTAGTTCATACATATAATGAAGTTCACATTAGTCTACATGCTAATATGAACTAATCTAAACATATTTAATACAAATGTGAACTAATGGAAACAAGTTTATTATAATTTTAACATCCCCCCTTAAACTTGTTTCATCACTCCAAGCGCCATCCTTAGCTTTTGAAAAACTTCAATCTTTAATGGCTTGGTGAAAATATCCGCAATTTGATCTTGCGACTTCACATGCTCAAGCTCCACAACTTTATTAGATATACAATCTCTAATAAAGTGATACCTTGTATCTATATGCTTGCTCCTTTCATGAAATACAGGATTTTTGGCTAACTCGATAGCCGACTTGTTGTCAACAAAAATCTTTGTGGCATCCTTTTGTGGTTGGTGAAGTTCCTCCAACAAACTTCTTAACCAAATTGCATGACAAACACATGAGCAAGCTGCAACATACTCCGCCTCACAAGTTGACAAAGTAACAATTGGTTGTTTTTTAGAATTCCATGTAAATGCAGAATTTCCAAGAAAGAAAACAAACCCAGTAGTACTTTTACGATCATCAATATCACCAGCCCAATCACTATCACAATATCCCACAAACTTAGAATCCTTAGAAGATGAATAAAGAATTCCATAATCAAGTGTATCTTTGATGTACCGAAGTATTCTTTTTGCTACCTTTAAATGGGAGGTAGTAGGAGCTTCCATAAAGCGGCTCACAAGTCCAACACCATAAAGAATATCCGGCCTTGTGCATGTCAAGTACCTTAAGCTTCCAACAAGACTCTTGAAAAATGTGGGATTTACATTTTCTCCATCTCCATGCTTGGATATTTTAACTCCACATTCAACGGGGGTGCTCACGGGATTGCAATTATCCATCTCGAACTTCTTGAGAATTTCCTTTGCATATTCTCCTTGAGAAATAAAAATCCCATCCTTCCTTTGTTGCACTTGAATGCCAAGATAGTAGGACATTAATCCAATGTCCGTCATCTCAAATTCTCTAGCCATTGCTTCCTTGAATTCTTCAAACATCTTAGGATTATTTCCTGTAAAAATCAAGTCATCTACATACAAGCAAACAAGTAAAATGTCTCCATTTTTAGCAATTTTTACATAAAGTGTATGTTCATGTGGACATTTTGAAAAACCATTTGCTTGAATATATTTATCAATTCTACTATTCCAAGCCCGCGGAGCTTGCTTCAACCCATATAAAGCCTTTTTCAATTTCATGACTTTATTTTCTTGTCCTTCAACCTTATAGCCCAAAGGTTGATCAATGTAGACTTCTTCCTCCAATACGCCATTCAAAAAAGCTGACTTCACATCCATTTGATGGATTTTTCATTGATTTTGGGCGGCCAAGGCAATGACAAAGCGAATTGTTTCCAAACGAGCAACCGGTGCAAATACCTCTTCATAGTCAATACCGGCTTTTTGCTTGTATCCTTTAGCTACTAATCTTGCTTTGTACTTTTCTACTTCACCCTTGGAATTCTTCTTTAGCTTGTACACCCATTTGACTCCAATGGTGCTTTTTCCTTTTGGAAGTGTGACCAACTCCCATGTTTCATTCTTTTTTATTGCCTTGATTTCTTCATCCATGGCATCTCTCCATTTGGAATTTTGGAATGCATCCTCAAAGCTTATAGGCTCACTATCCACCAATAAACAAAAATGAGTAAAATCATATAAATCATTTCTTACCACTTCCGTGTTTTCATACAAGTCACGGAGACTTCTACTCTTGTGAGGTGCTTCACTTGAACTTGAACTTGATTCCTCCACTTCTTGATTTTGTGGCGGAGGTGTTGATAGTGGTGAGATACGTTGCTCCACATCTTCTTCATCATCATCAAATAATGGACTAAAAGAGTAATCTTGCTCTTTAGTCTTCCCATCCCAAGCACTATCTTCATCAAACTCAACATCTCTACTCAAAGTGACCTTGCCATTTTTGGGATTTACAATTTATAACCTTTAGAATTTTGATCATAACCAATAAAAATATACCTCTCACTTTTGTCATCGAGCTTGGTCCTCTTTTCATCATGTATATGTGCATATGCAATGCTTCCGAAAACTCGCAAGTGAGAAACTTTTGGCTTGAAACCACTCCATGCCTCTTGAGGTGTTTTTCCATGAACACGTTTTGTGTGGCAACGATTTAGTAAGTATACCGCACAAGCAACAGCTTCAGCCCAAAATTCCTTTGGCATATTTTTGCTCTTCAACATACTCCTCACCATGTTAAGAATGGTCCGGTTCTTTCTTTCCACAACGCCATTTTGTTGTGGTGATCTTGGCACGGTTAAAAAATAGCGAACTCCATTTTTCTCACAAAATACCTTGTGGACCGTCGTGAAGAATGCACGGAAAGGCAGAGCGATAATTCTCACTAGTAAATCTACTTTCCATCTCTAGTTTCCTTGTTTTCCCTTTTGACATGAATAAACTTGGTGCGACTAGAAAAGTACTGCATCGGCTTACTAGTAAAACACTTCATTGAAGGTAATCATAGTGGAACATCATGCATTCTACAGTAATCACATGTCAGCAAAGTCCCAAATTCATTTATTTCTGAGTTTTTCCTAGTTCCTCTTTTGATGAAATTAATGGTGCGATTACTGACAAAGATAAGCATTTCAGCCCACTCGATGGAAGAAGCAGATTATTTATGTGATCGATTAGGAATATTCGTTGATGGAAGCTTGCAATGCGTAGGAAATTCTGCAGAGGTAATTTCAAACTATAGAAATGCTCTATACTTCAATTTCAGAAGTGTGGTGGTCCTACTGTGAATTTGGTGATTGTCATGGCTTATAACAATATGATGGGCAAAACTAGCAACAATTGGAATTATAATCGACAATGTAAAATGCTAGACGTGCTGAATGAATTTATTTATTCTCATAATTCTCAAACCTTTCCAACTATATTATGAACAGTTGAAGGCAGGATATGGAGGCTCTTATGTGTTTTCCATCACAACATCATCTGATAATGAGGTGGAAGTTGAGAACATGGTGCGACGCCTATGCCAAAACGCCAATAAGGTATACCATTTATCAGGGACACAGAAGTTCGAGTTGCCAAAGCATGAAGTAAAAATTGCAGATGTATTTCAACTAGTTGAGAATGCAAAGAGTAGATTTACAGTTTATGCTTGGGGTATGGCTGATACAACTTTAGAGGATGTTTTTATCAAGGTTGCTAGTACTGCTCAGGCCTTCAATGAATGATATGCCAGCTAGCATCAAACACAAATTAGATATAGGAAAGAATAAAAAGAAAGAAATTCAAGGATTTCATTTTTTTGATAATTATTATCAGTATCTGATGTTTTTGCTTTAGTAAATTAGGTTCATGTAGATGCATCAAGTACAGCGCTTATGTGGCTTTATTTGTCATGTAAATGTGTACAAGGATGCCAACATTGGAATAGAAAGAAGTTGTATCAACAAAGAATTAGTCAGACATTTTTTATTATATTTAAAGCTCACTTATATATGTGTACTCCGAGCTACTTATGAAGATGAATGATATTTGTAGGTGTGTACAAGCTACTGCAGACAGTGTTATAAAAATGAATTTCGATTTCAGGATAAAGCAGTTGAAGTAACTAAACGCATCTAGTTTCTGTAAAGAAATTACTAATGAAGTAATAAAGGACTACTGCTAAATAAACAAAATGAGATGCTAGTAAAGATAAATTTATCCCAGATTTTGTGGTGATGAATGAAACTGGAACCAGAAGGTGTTGTCCAAGAAAGCAAATAAGCTAAAAAGACATTATAATATTAGACTAGCAAACCTGTCGTCCAGTGTCACACAAGATTATTTGCTTGTAGATGCAAAGGTGGGATTCGTTTACTCAAAGGATTTGACTTGTGTATGCTAAAAAATAAATAGAATTTAAATTATTAGTCCAACTTAACTAATTATAACATGTCAATTACATTATTTTTCATGTTACCAGCAGATCTTTACTGACACTTACCTAAAGTAGCTTTTAACTGGTATTACTGTTCAATTATTTTAGATAACTAGTCTTAGCGTACGCGCGTTGTATGTGTTTCCCATCAATGATTAATTTTTTGTAAAAAAAATTATATTTTCTAAAATTGTATTTGAATTATAAAGTATAAACTTCTAAAATTGATGAATATTGATCATATATAGCTAAATCAATAAAGTAATATTCACCTTATAGGGGTTGGTGCCTTATATTACTGAGAGGCAACATAACTAGGGGTGACGCCCTGTATTACTAAAAGGGAACGTAACTAGGGGTTGGCGCCCTGTATTACTGGAAAGAAATGTAATCAGGGGTTGGCGCCTCACTAGGAAGGAATGTAACTAGGGGTTAGCGTCATGTATCACTAAAATGTAATATAACCAGAGGTTGGCATCCTGTATCACTAGAAAAGAATGTAACCAGGGGTGGGCGCCCTGTATCACTGAAATATAATGTAATCAGGAGTTGGCGCACTGTATCACCGAGAGAGAATTCTCCTAGGTGGAAAGGTTCTACAAGAGTTAAGTTGTGGTCCTCTTTGATTTTGTGTTTCCTATATGGCAAGGTGTGAATAGTAATGAAAAGGCTATGTTGATGTTTTAGACGTCAATACCACACAAGAGGGGGGGGTGATTTGTGTGGTACCTAATTTTCGCGTTAGAAGAACCTGGTTCTTCTAAGTGTTCTAACTACAGCAGTTTGCGGAATAATAAATACTGAAAGTAAAGTGCACAGAGATTTTTACGTGGAAAACACCTGGCTCAAAAGGTGAAAAAACCACGACCTACTACTCAGTAGGATTTTCCCAAACTCCACTAAAATCACTGAGCCAAAAACTGCATTTACAAAACTCTTTGTAAACCTAAGGATTAACTCTAATCCCAGTGTCTCAACTGTTGCGACACTTTCAAGTTAACTCTAACTTGAATACTCAATATACCTATTACAATTGCTTCTAGATAAAGCTAAAAGGTACAATATGAAAACCTACTACAATTGAACTAGACTTAGAATAAACACAGTGATGAAACTGGTTCTTCTATCTTAGTTCATGTAGCTTCAGGCGTGCACACTTGTATCTCGCATATGTTGCTTGCAAATCAGACTTGATCTTTTTGCTCTCAAATATGCTTAACTTCTGCTTATGTGCATTCACCTGTAAAAGAGAACAATCGTTATATTTATAGAGTTAGTAATTAGAGTTTGATAAGAACTCGAATTGTGGATCCTTTGACAATTCGAGTCCAAGAACAACTCTAACTCCTAATCCGTATTCTTGATCCGGATGTAATTCTCTTTTCATAAGGAGACTTTAACTCCTTATCCTATATGCAATCTTTTCGATCAGTTCAGAAGATATTCATCAAGATATTGCTGCTTGATCTCAAGGACTTATCTTCTTCACGTGTATCTCATGTGTATGGGCCATAACAACTGTGTCTCCTTAGATGAACCTGGTCCTTTACTGAGTTCGTTTGTCATTCTTCAAAACTTTAACTGATCTTGGGCCAACATATGTGCATGCTAGAAAAGTAAAAAAAGTGGAGGTTTGAGAAAACTTCCTTTCGGCGGTGTTCGTCTTTTGCGAATCGCCATTCTGCATTACTTTGTTCCTATTGCAAATAAAGAAAAATTTCTGAGTTTTCAAAGTGGTGGTCGGTTTGTGGCTTTGCTGCCTTGAGTTATTTGAACTTGCGGCCATCCTGCTGTCGTAGAACTAATTCTGCCAGTGTGGTACTGAGTTGCTCGGATACTCTGCATTGCTTTCTGGAAGCCTTGGCTTTCCATCGTTGCCCCCATTGTTTCATATTCGGATGTCTATGGTACCACCGAACCTTGTCCCTAAGAATATTTTTCTTTAAAAAGCAAACTTAGTTGTCATGCACCCAGCACTAGTTTCTGTTCGCAATGCTATTAGCTTTCCCCAGGAAGCAAGTCTTGCTTAGGCAAATTTTGATTTCTTTGAAACACTTTGTTAGACTTACCAGAGGAGATCACAGATGGATTCTTGCCTTTGTCAATGTCGCGTATGCCCCAAGCCCTTGTGCTCTATATATTTTGGAAACTCTAGCCAGTTTTGCAGCCATTTCTTTGCTTTACTTTTGATGCAAGATTTAGACCGAAATGGACTCAAAGAAAAGTTACGGGTAAAATAAAAAAGTAATTGTAAGCGAAAATGAATTGTGTTTAAACAAAAGGTGTCCCTTTTAGGGAAAGGAATAGGAGACTTATCTGGAGGTATGCGCCGACTTCAATGAATCATGACATCCATCTGGACTGGACGCCTAATCTGTATGAGCTGTGTAATTCTCAAAATCCGTTGCAAACGTTCATTTTGAAACTGAGTTCTTGGTTTTGCTCATGCCGTAGTATCGAAGATCCTCATTCGGCCAGTAGTGCCCTTTGCGGGTTTTCGCTAACCGGCCTCTCTCGTTTATCTACTCACCGTCGCCTTATGGTTCCTATACGGGTTTTCACTATAAGACTCTCATTTTTTCTTTTTTTTTTGCCAGCCTTGAGTAAGATATTGCATGCGGCAGGCTGTCCAACGCCCTTGGCATGGTGACTTCAACATTCTCAAAGATCGGTTAGAAAGTCTTAAAGGGAAAAGATGAAAAGAACCTTGAACTGAATTACAACTTTTAGAACTATTTTTATAGAGCGATCATAAAAAATAAAACAAACTTTTTTCCCAGTTCTGGAGTACTCGGGAGTGTGAATTTTTATTGTGATGGGACCAAACCAGGGTGGGGCTGCCTACGTATCTTTTCGAATTCAGGTCAAACTTAGTTCACTAACTCAAAAGATTTGTTGTCTGATTGGTTTTTTCTCTTTTTTCCCCTCCTTTTTTTGTTCTTTTTTATTACAAGTACACAGGTTCCAAAAAGAGGGAAAAATAAAGAAGACAACTATGGCTCAAAAGGGTGACACCTATTTCGGATAGTGAGCAATTATAGCCTTCGTTATCCTGATCCGAGAAACCATATGTGAAAGTTCTACACTGGTTATATATCAAACATAATATCTTTTGACTGCATCTGCGTTAATAGTCAACCTTTTTGGTAATACTTTGTTGATGATGTAAGGTCCTTGCCAGTTCGGAGCGAGCTTTCCCTTAGCTTCTACTTGATGTGGAAGAGTGTGTTTCAAAAAGAGTTGGCCTACCTCATAGTGCCTTGGATGCACTTTCTTGTTGTAAGCGCGTGCTATTCTTTGCTGTATAATTGGCCAAAATACACTACTGCTAGCCGTTTTTCATCAATCAACATTAGTTTTTGTCCCAAACGGGTCTTTACCCATTTTGTGTCTTCAATCTACGATTCCACAATGATTTAAAGAGAGGGAATTTCGACTTCACCCGCTATTACAGCTTCAGTTCCATATACCAGCAGATAAGGAGTTGCACCAACAGATGTGCGAACAATCGTGCGGTATCCCAAAAGAGACAAAAGGCAACTTTCCATACTATTGCTTGGACTCTTGGATCATCTTCCTAAGAATCTTCTTGATGTTCTTGTTTGCCACTTCAACGGCTCCATTGGCTTTTGGCCGGTAAGGGGTAGAATGGCGATGCACAATTTTATATTGCTCGCATACCTCCTTCATCATATGACTATTTAGATTGTGCGTTGTTATTTATAATGTTCTTCAGGATACCAAAGCGACAGATGATGTTGGAATGAACAAAGTCTACCACTGCTTTCTTGGTGGCTGCTTCCACCCACTTGGTAAGATAATCAATGGCAACCAAAAAGAATCTATGCCCATTTGAAGCCTTTGGCTCGATTGGCCCGATAGCATCCATTCCGCAAGCAATGAAGGGCCAAAGATATGACATGGGGCACAACTCCGGCGGAGGTGAGTGAATTAGGTTACCATGAATCTTGCATTGGTGACACTTGCGACAAAATTGAAGCAATCTCGCTCCATAGTAAGCCAATAATATCCCGCTCGAAGAATCTTCTTTGCCAGGACGTATCCATTCATATAAGGTCCACATACTCGGGAATGCACTTCACCCATGATCCGTTCAGCTTCGAGGAATCTATGCATCTCAACAAGTTCAAATCTGGGGTCCTTTTGTACAGGATTTTACCATTCAGGAAGAAACCACTGGCGAGCCGCCTTATAGTTCTTTTATAATCTCCCTTGGCATGCTCCTGGTATTCCGTTATTTTCAGGAAATCATTTTATTTCATGATACCATGGTTCACCATCTGGTTC